ATTTTTTTAATTCTCTGGAGATATCCTTGATTACAAAATAGCTCTCCAGGTTTTAATGGTTATTTGTCTTCATATGTGACACCTAAGTAAGCGAGATCCTTCTATAATTTCAGAAAGTTGGTGCTCCCAGTTCAACAGTATGAGACGTCACTATTGTCAACTGATGTCCTGTAGGACTGAAACATTTGAAATCGATTGTTCAACATTAAGTAGTGACCAATGTTATGTCTGTCGAGTCCCTTGAAGCTTATCGATAAGATTCTATGTTCACAACTGATGTAATACTGCTCAGTAATCTGTTTAGATGTAAATTAACTAGTATTTTAAGATATATCTTACTTATTAATGTCATTAGATGCAAAATCTAGGTTAATATCTTCTTCCTGACAACTTGCAACTTATCTCAAACCAAACAAGCCAATCAACTTTCTTTTTACCCACTTAATCAATTCAGAAACTCAATGATTGGTTAGTATCAACAATGTAATATTACGAGTTTAATTGCTTATCCTAATTAATAATCCACCTACTAAATAAAATCCAATCGTTATCTTTGACATCAAGCTTAACACAAACATAAAACTCACCGTTAGAGATAAAAAATATCTTAATTTTAGTTTTTCTTAATGAAATCCAGGGTCAAGTGATAACTAGAATTTCCATGATATCACAAACAAGTATAGAGAACTATGTTTTAAACTTTTCCATTCAGTAATGTCGTTCCAGATATATTTTTAATAAGTCTATATATATAAAGATAGATAGATAGATAGATGCTAGACAGACACAATTTTCGCTAATGATCTTCAAGTGCATACCAAGTGTTTTCATATCATAAGGTAGATTAAATAAGATTAAAAAAATGTATTCAAAAAGATACTTTAGTATGCTTCAAACAGAAATATTCTAATGTTGAAATTATAAAAGTTAAAATTCACTTCATCATTTCCTATTAATTATAAATTTTATTTCACTAAACTTATTTAAATTCACTATTATCTTCATTTAGTCTTGTTAATGTGATAACATCTTTTCCTATTTACATCTCTGTTTGATTTTTCATCTTTATTACTCTGCTGAAGGATTGATGGATAATCATTTCTGATGTAAAATATTCATATTTCTATTACTTGTCGAATTATATGCTTTGATAAATAGTTGTGCAACATACTTATCTATCTGTCTGTAATATATTTGTTCATTATTTAGCAAACTTTAATTTTGAGGTATGTAGTGAAAGGTATTTAAAAATCATTCATGATAATAACATCAAATGATGAAATTTTCATTCTTCAAATCAACTAGCATAAATAGAATAAGCATTTTGTTTTATTTTTAGAAATTCAATATTCAGGTAAATAGCTCTATGTTATTTAAGACAGTACTTGTTTAAAAAGAGACAGAAATTATGAAAGCTTAATAATTTTATAATGATTAAATGAACAGTGGTTTGTTAGTTAGTGTTTAGTTTTCACCTACTGTATTAAAGGTTTGAATTTTATCAAAACTATTATAATTAGACTTTAAAACATTAAAGTTGTATAGTGACCTACTTCTTTCAAGAGAACGCGATTGGTGTAATGAAAACCATTATTATTATTATAACCAATTGAACCAGGGATTGTTTTACTGTACTTGTTTGTTTAACTGTACTAAAGACATACTTTCTTCCGTTGATTGTGACCTAGCACGAATTCGGTTATGCTCAGTAACCGCACTTGTAACTTGGCACGATCTCGGTATTATTTTGATACCACGAGATTGCCAAAAAATACATGTCGACTACAGTCATCAAATGCCTTTTGATATTTGGCCTACGGGGGATCTAATCTGTTAACTGGTACGTAGTCTTCTTGTAGTGGTGATCATAATAAAACGCGACTCGACACCATACTACAGTTGTATGAATTGTTGATAAGTGTAAAAACCTAGATCGAGCTGGATGATATTAAAAAATAAGTAGTCCTGTTTTAATAATAATGTGATCATAAGTATTCTTTGGATTTAAGTGGGTGCAAACCTTAGTATTTATAAAACCAGTGACAGTTAATTTACCTCATTAATTGGAAGTTTATGAATAAACGGAGTCTACAACATTGTTTTATTCAAATAGGTAACAACTACCTCACTGAGTGAGATTTATGAAGGTATCTTCCTACTTTCAGGTCTTTATTAAATTGTAAAATTAGTCTTGATTGTCTCTAATACGAAAAATTTATATAATACATATATAATAGTTTATATCTAATCACTTAAATTGCTCTGATTTGTAAGAAAATTGTTTAACGAATACTTACTATGAATTATCAACATGCAGAATTCACAGAGGTAGTTGCGTTTAGTTTGAGGTTAATGGCTATTTAAAAAATGACATTGAGACACCATATTAAAGTCAAATAGAAGTAATATAAATTCAGCTAGGTCATGCCAAAGTTGTTTTCAATTATTGTTTATTTATTATCCCTTATAACTGTTATTAATATTGTCAAATTAACATAAGCATTTCTGTGGTGTTTGTATGAACTAACGATTCCTTTGTGTTGATAACTGCTTGATTTAAAATTCCAAGTACAATAGGTATTTTCGTTCTCATCTAATACTTATTGGTTAAATTGCATTATTTCTGGAATTCTTAGTTTGAACTATAATTCAAATACTCCTATTTATCACAATATTGCATCATTTATTCTTGCCAATTGGATAACACTCTTTTCTTAATGTAACATTGATTTATCTCAAAATTCCAATGTATGCTTCGCAAATGAAGAATCAGTTTTGAAAATATTCTGTTTCGTTATATTTCTTGTCTGTCAGATAGTTGCTTGATCAACTTTCGTTTTAGTCTTTCATATTCTTAATAAGCAAAACGTTCAGCTACATGTTCACTCAGTTGTAAATATATAATAAATAACATTATTCATAAGACAGATTTTACACGTAGTGTGGTGTGTGCTACTTATGTAGACATGAGTAGTATATGACGTGAGTAGTGAATAGAATGTGTGGCAGCAGAGAGACGAGAAGATCAAACAAGAAAGAATGCAATTAGTATGAAAATGAAAGAGTAAAGGAATTCTGAGTCATTTGAGACAATTGATGAACAATTTGTAAATTGAGCATTTAATATATGGTTGTTATATTTTACTAACTAGTTCTGTAATTTGTTGTTAAACACATTCGATTGGCCCCATTGGTGTTCTTGTTCACTACAAAAGTTTCTACGAATTTGTTCGGTTGATCAGAAATTAATATCACAATTCAATTTTCTTTCATTTGTGTACATATCCGCGACATTTATTCATTAAATACTTTCAAAGTGTGTGTTCGGTTACACTTGTACCCCTATTCTTAAATTCTTGTTAAACTGAACTTTGTTAAACTTGTAGCTGCAAATAAATCCTCAAAATAAATATCGCTGTAAGTTTTCGACATTGGATACTGATCGCATTAGTTTTAATGGACTCACATAGCTAAAAGTGCTCGGTCATGCATCCGCACCAAATCACGAGTGAGAACGCCGTGCACAACAACCCCTGCAATCGCTGGCCAGATTAGATCAGACGGTCTTCAATATATTGATACCTTATAAAAGATATCTTCAAACCTCCTCGCTTCTGTCTTTTGATTTCACTTGGTGGGTACGATTCATATTAGAATGTGTTACTTGTTGAAGCGTTGTCGAACTCCGAATTCCTGTGACATCTTCAAACTGTATATCTCATTTAGCTATGCTCCGGCCAAAGTCAGGATAAAAACGAGTGCATTATATGCTCTCCCAGAGCACGCAAACCAAAACAGGTGATTTACTCAACTGACCATCTTCCTAACCTTTGCCCTAGAGGTTGAATCGGTAAGCAACGAAGGGATGTTGTGAAATCCTGTTTCACGGTATCTGTTAACTGAAAACAAGTCACCATATGGCACTTGATCTCATGTTCACTACGGATTCGGAATTAGGGCTTTCAGACTGCCAAAAGTGAGTTCGCTACATCCACTAAACCATTGAAGTTCTAGGAATCCGCTTTATGTCGTTTCAAATGCCACGTTTTGTGGCATATGTAACAGTCAGTAGAACTTCGCTCACATGTGCCATGGTGGAGTTTCAACTATTTTAAGAAGGAGAGCAGAGTTCTGGTATATATATCGAGGACCGTCTGATCTAATCTGGCCAGCGATTGCAGGGGTTGTTGTGCACGGCGTTCTCACTCGTGATTTGGTGCGGATGCATGACCGAGCACTTTTAGCTAGGTGAGTCCATTAAAACTAATGCGATCAGTATCCAATGTCGAAAACTTACAGCGATATTTATTTTGGGGATTTATTTAACACCAAAAGATGATATCAACCTAGGCATGGCATAAGCAAGAGCGGCTCATTACGGTCTGAACCATCTTTTTCTGGCCTTATCCTGGCTGTCAAGGGTCTTATTTAAGACATATTGGTGAAAGGACTTCTGATCCGTGCTTGTAAAATCTGATTTCTCAGAGCTGAGAATGTTGAAATACTGTCTATGTTCAATCAACGTCGTATCAGAAGAACCTACTACACTCAGTGGCAAATATATGTTTATAATGCTGAGGTTTGGTAAAATATGTTCAAGTAATATGGCGATAATTTCTTTTATCTCAACAGTTTAGAAAACTGAGTATGATGATAGAGACATGTGCAGGGACTACGCGCCTAACCACAATTTAAAAGGCAGTCTGATTTTGATGTACGGGATACGAAGAAATATTTTTGGACCTGATATATCCTCTCTTTTTCTTCCTACCAGATCAGGATAACTCATACGACATAGCGGGTAAGTAGAATAGCCAAGAATGAACAAAATACTCATGGCATACACTTTTTCATCAATTCTTGGAACCTGTTACTCGTGGCAATGATGTCAACGCCTTCAAATGACTCATACAAAATAAGACTTTACTCTCACAGAAATATATTTAAAAAGGAATAACATATGCCACAGGCCTTCTGGCCTAACTGAACATATCTGATTCACTGACCTTGAAATAAATGGCGGTCGAACTAGTTCCAGATGCTCCGTTAGTTAAAATGATTTGTCTTGATATTGTAGGTGGTATTTTGGAGAAATAAGCAGAGAAAAAGCTAATGAAATTTTAATTGATCAGCCTGTTGGAACATTCTTGATACGTGACAGTACTACAAAGTCAGGTTACGTACTTGCGATAAAGTATGTCTATTTTTACGTGCTAATAATCAGAGAGGCGAACGAAGTCAAGCGTTACCTACTTACATGGGCACCTCAACTGAAAAAGTTCAAGTTCGGCGACACTCTTTATTCTTCCCTCGATGAGTTGGTTAGACTTCATACTTCACACTCTTCGAGTACGCGTATGAGACAGCCAGCTCAAAAGGCTACTTATGCTGCTTTATATTCATTTCAAGCACAGGTTATTACATCCCTTTTCCCGTTATTTTCTAGGAAGAGGGAGATTTGTCTTTTCAGAGGGGAGATTTGTTAACGTTTATAAGACAAAAGCGGGAGTGGATTCTATGTAAATCAGGTGATAACCGTATCGGTTGGGTTCCTTCAAATTATTTAACTCCGGTGAGTAATGTAGTTTCTTTGGATTAATGACACAAATGTTTCCTGCGTTTTTACTGCACGCAATCTGTAATTCAGAAATAGCTTGAATGTCATGATGATACCTCACCTCAAATCTCAGTGTTTTACTGACCACTGTTTTACAATTTCCTATCTCGTTACAACTCAATTCAGCAAGTCCTAGGAACTGTATGGACGTTCATGTATTTAGTTTCGATCTAATTTATCGTCTAAAGGGTTGTATGAATGCTCGGCTGTCGTACCTGATGTAAATACAGGATTTCTCAATCAAGTTGTAGGGATTTAGATACTTTGATCACCAAGCCAGGTTTCCGCTTGTGAGAACCAGTCTTATCGCTCAAACCTAAATCTTGTTTGGTCCACTGTGCTGCAATTAGGTATTACATCTGTTATAACGTCTCGGTTAAGTTAACATGCAGACTCGGTTTTTTTTAAAAATATACTGGACTACGACTGTCAACAATATTGGCGATTCCATAATTTATGGACAACCAGTGAAAATAAGGATATAAAGTCTTGAATTTTAGCTCAAAATTTACTCATCCATATAACTAAATAGTATTTTTGATTATAGCTTATGTCAGTTCGTGATGAAACTCCTTGATTTTTAACCGTAATTCGTAATCCTAATTGCTCATATTAATTTGTAGCCCTCTTTTGACCCTGGTAAATAGATGAGTTGTCTCAATATTACTAGCATTGTTCAAAAGCCACCCACAAATTTTATTACCATCATAATATCCTTCATATTGTTTACTGACGTATCCATGACATCCATTTCTTCCTAGTTTACACCTGAAATTGTTGCTAGATTAAAGGGTCTTGGTGACCAACTTGGATTGACCTATTGTCATATGCTGAAATCTGTTCAGTTACCAGCTACTGGAAAGGTTGTAAGGGCTAGAAATCCCAGTATCTTCGCAACAAATCACTTGAAAGTGGAGGTTAGTTCGTTTTTTAGGTGTTCCAAATGTTATATTTAAATCATTTTACGGTATTACATTCTGTAGATTAAATAATGCGGTAACCCAAAGAGCTGTTTTTCATTCTGCAGTTGGGAATGAGTTTAGGTTGCTGGTATTCGTCTGTATGACTTAAAATTATTTTTTACGTGTAACAAAATCAAATAGCCAATACAATCTTCAGTCTTTATTGGCCAAAGTACCTGGGGGTATGTAGTATATCTCAGGCACCACCTACTGTAACGTAGAAATAGGTTGGAAATGATTGTATGTAACATGACCAAAACGTAACATCAGTCCATGAAACCATTGGCCATTATATTAAGTCGTGCAAGCAGTTCCAGACTTGCAAGTTAAAGTTCCCAAGGTAATCTTAATCTATGGTTATAGAATTTGAGTGATGTCGGTCAAATTTGGTTTAAATCCCAATTTATACTCCTCACAATCATAGTTCATTCCCTTTCCACGACGTCTCTGGTGTTGTTCTTTTAGGAAATTTAACTTTCGTTCTTGGCTTCTATGCAATTTTTTTACTACTAATTTCGCCCAACTCATCCACTTCATCTTGTTAATTTTCTCCTTATGTACTTATATAAAGCGTAACAATTTATATCTATGTACATTTGTCCCAGACCCTACGTAGCTAACATCCACAAAAAGCCTTAGAAACGTGGTGTTTTAAGATATATATGTACTGTAGGAATTACAAGTAACTTACTTCTAAACTGACCTTGCTAAATCCGATATAATGGTGAAGCCTACCAGTTTGACTCTACTTCATTGGAGAATGAGAGACCTACAAAATTAGTTTTGTGTGATCGTTTGTGACACCAAGTTACGTTATTTTCGTGAATGCTTTTGTATATAAGCCTGTAGTTTTATTTGGTAAAAAGCCTTTTTACTTTAGCTAATGGTCTTACTTTTAATTTGTAATTATTCACAGTCGTATGTCAGTAATCCGGTCTCATGGGCAGCCATCACTCGTCCACACTGTACCACTACATATCATGTATTAGTCACACTCTGTTTATTTGTTTTGGCAACTACAGGCCAGGTTCAACAACCTGTAAATTCCTAATCCATAACCTCATTAGCTTTTCTGCTCGCCGCAATTGATAAACTATACTTAACTTATATCGCGTACTTTTTTGTTACATTCCTTAGTTACAGTTACAAATGTTATGTTAACCTTTGAATCTTTTTTTGAAGAATGCGGGTTTGCACCCCCTAGTTTATACGATTTTCCAGGTAGTTATCCACAACATTTTATGGTTTAAACTATTTCGTACATGTCAGTATATTTAATGATAAAGTTGATTTTTGCAATTACCATTTACATTATATCTTGCAGTGCGATGATGAAGTTCAAATTAGGAAACTACTTCCTGATGGATTCTGTGAGGTCTGGCGAGAACGTGATCAAGTTGGCGGCTTAGTACCAATTAATTTCCTTAAGATTGAATGTAATTAATAAATAGTAATCATATTTTGACTATAATTCATTGATGAGGTTGTGATTTAATTTCATAATGTTCAATTACACTTTTCTGAAACTTCTATATTTTTCAGTCGTACTTAATATATGTTTGTTTGCTTTTGTAACAATAGACTGTTTGAAGTGGTATACAAATATTTTTATATGAGTATGTTTACAGGAAGGTCAGTGCATGCATACAAAACATATTCTTATTGGCCCTAGTGTCAAGGCAAGTTTTCATTCTTATTTGTCTTAGCTTGACTTGACATACAACAGATTTCAAGTACTAAATTATTCAAGTCCCTGAACATGTATTACAATGATTTACGGAGTTGTTTTGGATTTAAGTTGTATTGAATTTGACGGTATCTTAATAAGGTTTGCGAGACAAAGCAAATTAATGATTGAACATACAAAGGAAATCTAACCTCTATTTGGTTACTGTTTTCTAAAGTGTGCAAGATCTAATAAATATACCACTGTTAGCGAAATCGTTCAGCTAGCCATAAGCGAAGTTAATAATCTATGGTATAAACGCATAAGTAAAGTGCGTATTTTCCCACTTAAAATAAAGTGCAGCTATGTAGAATCTCTAAGACATATATATTGCTTTGAGTTCCAGTATTACAAAGTGATCGAGGGGAGGAGAAATATATAGACGGAGAAAAAACAAATAAGTAAAGTACGAATCGACGATTAACAAACGACTAAAGAGTTGTGAGACTGGATAATAAAGAGTACATCCTCTCCATTGTAATCGATTTTGATCCATTCCACATCTGATAAAGGATACCAGTTACTTAAAATTGTTTATTTAGTGATTTAATATCATGAATGTGTCATGTCAACATTGTGTTCTTCACATATCTTGAACCAACAAATGCATATCTCCTTGACATGCGAGGTTGTTTTCAAATTATATTGAGTCGCTTTTTGGTCTTCCCAACCTTTTGGTATTGTTGCTACCCAAGAAACGCATATGAAACATATGTTTTGAAAGTTGTATAGTCGTATTCTTTGTTTCTGGTTATTCAGTATATCCATCTGTGCTAAGAACTAGAACATATTGATTGATATTAACAACCAAGCTATTCAACTCAAATCGTACTCTTACGATCAATTGGTGTACAAAACCAATTTATTTATTTATTTATTTTAACACATAAGTATAGGTACAGGGAGGCACCAAAATACATATGCGCCACACAAATCTCAATTGATTTGTGTGAGGGCTGTGATACTGCCCGGGTGCCCAAACCGAAGCAGGTGGTTGTCTTAGGGGGCCACACCCCGAGCCTTTGACCTGAACGTCTGACCCACAAGGCAGTGGAGCATCGTGAGGAGATGCAGTCCCATGGTAGCCGGTGACCAACGATTGGTTCATACGCCATTTGTTCCCGCAGGATACTGGAGCCCATGTGCACCATTGGTTTGGGGTCCGGTTAAAGCGCCAGACATTCGCTTTTCGTCCTCTCATTTTTGTAAACAACACCCCCGCCACGAGAAGGCAGTGAGTAGGACTTCCCTGGCAGGGGCTATGTACGCATGGCCATGTGAGAGCATTTCGAGAGGGAGAGCGGACTCTCCCCACTCTCGGCCGTACCAGGGCATTTGGGGGCGTACAAAACCAATAGAGCACATTGAGATCTTGGATACTGTTTACTCCTAGAAGCTGTAACTAAAGTCATTCGGTCATTTCTAAGCCTTCTTGTTAGTTTTAGCCCATCAACCTTGTATACCTCTCATAAAGACTAATAATGACATTGCCTGGCTATCCGAACTTCAGTTAGTGGAGTGAATTCGTATATGTGACCACATTTTTATAGCTGATCAGCTTCGCTAACTAACTAATGATTGGCGTGTGTGTAGAATACTTTTCATAGAGCAAATCTTCCTACCTTTAATGTGAAGTTTTGTAAATTCATGAGTCTCTCCTGCCAAATACGAAGGAAAACTGGCAATGCCTCCATCAGTATTGTTCATGAATAATGATGCATCAGATTAAGGGATGGACATTTCAGTTGCTAGTTTTGATTAGAATTATTTCCCACTATCAAACGAACTCATAGGCTTGGTTTATGCAACACATCGTAACAGACAGCTGTTGTAGCAAATCATATTCACTAAGGTCAGTCAAAACGTCTTGACTAAAATAGCTAGTCATTATTACGTTTTGTATAGCCAGCTACTAGTTAGTAAATTAAGAGAAGCTAGACTTTAAATTTAAATAATTTACAGATCTCGGTAAAATATTGAAAAATCATGAATCCTTAAGTAGATTCTCATTTTCTCCAACTTTACCCCCGAACACTACTGGTATAAATTCGTCAATTTAGTATTGTAATCGGTATGACATACATAAATGTTGTGGCTGCATTGGTGTTGCAAAGTCCTAAAGTTATGAGGATCTGCAATTTTAAAAACGGAAATCAGCGAATTTTTAGTTAGGAGCTTATAATATGTAGTTAAATTAACCAGTCTACGTTGCATTTATCTGGCTCACTAAAATTAACCATCCTGATCAAAAATGAGATTAGTCTATTGTAATCCAGTGTAGATCAAGAAACCTAATGTGCTTTGTTGACCAGGTTTCTTCAATTCAGTGGTTTCAACTATGTAGAGGAGACGTAGTCCTGTTCCTTTTAGAAACGTACTTAAGACACAATATAAAACTTCAGAAGCTCCTCTTACGTTTATTTATCAGGTGATAAATGATAATCATTTTTTTTTCACCTCTTTCCTAATTGCAAATTCTGTACCACATGGACCATACTAAATGGTTCCTCTGAATCAACTGAATGAACTTGAATACAATGGTCAACCGGTTCTTTGGTAGATGATCATTACTGACTAGCATCGTTCATCCTCAAAGTAGTTCAACTTGGTCGGCACGTTAAAATAATTCTAGGTATATCCCCTTATGTGAAGGGCTTTTTTACTCGCAACGACTGTTCTCGATTTAATTTTTGGTCTGAACATGTAGGTTACATCGGTTCGACGAAATACCCATTTAATAATAGTCGTAATAAATTCTTCTATTTAAGCAAAATCAAACCTAACTAAATTAATTAGGGTTCAAACTTAAAAGCCTGTAGCTAAAAGTTAGCTACCTTTCGCGAAAAAATCTGTGTTTCGGTTCCCCAACATGTTCACTTATGTAGTTGAGAGGAAGCCTTTGGTAGTTGTTTAATCAATATCCAAAGAGTTTGCATCTCAGACCAACTGTAACTAAATGATCATTGTGAATCATAAAGCACTAACCAGTGGTCAGAGACTTTGGACGGCACGGCTCGAAATTGTTTGCAATGGTGCAGGTGCGTCCACTCTTTGCCTTCCAATAGATCCTAAGTGTCTATGATTTCGCTAACTTATCTTTTCTGAACTTGTATTTTAGACGCCTAATTTTTTCTGTTTTTATCGATTTTGTTGCTACCCCTGTTACTCTGGGATTTGCCCTGACAATTTCATCTCGCTGTACTAATGTGGTATGTCAACCTAATCTCATGTGCTAGGATCTGCGTTGCGTTTGACTTCTAAATAGTTCACACCTGTGACATTAGCAGCGATTTTCTTATTTCCACCGCTTCAAATGACGTGTTCATTACTAATTTCAATAAACGTATATACTCTCTTTGTTGATCGTTAGACGTGTTTGTTCGACTACCTTTTGTCGCTATAACATAAAAGTTGTGTTGTATACTCTTTCTGTTGCAGTATTATGTCTGGCATTTCACGAGTCGGCAAACTATTACTACCACGTACCGCTTTATTGTTATGTGATATACAAGAAAAATTTCGTCCAACTATTAGTCATTTTGATGCAATTGTCGAAACGTCTAGTCGGATGTTAACAGCTGCTCGAATGCTAGGAATGCGCATTGTAGTCACTGAAATGTACCCTAAAGGTGTGTTTTAGGAAAAATAGTATTCTAGCATGTTTTTAAAATGTGGTTTATATTTTTGTAAGATATTTTGTATAAAAAGCATTAACTGTAACACCTCGATTTATTCGTATTTGAGGTATTTCTTTGTTCTGTATTGGGATGTCTATTGGTTTAAGCTTGCACGAAACCATATAGATTTGTGTTTTTGGCTATGTTCTGGGAATTATCCTCTGTTAGAACAATGATCGACATAATCTTCGTATATTTACAAAATAGTCTTCTTGTGTAATCCTGGTACCTCCAAATGCCCTGGTACGGCCGAGGGTGAGGAGAGTCAGCTCTCTCTCTCGAAATGCTCTCACATGGCGACGCGTATACAGCCACTGTCATGGAAGTCCTGCTCGCAGAGCGGGTATTGTTTATGAAATTGAGAGAACGAAAAGTCGATGTCCGGTGTTCTAACTGGGGTGGTGAACATGGAGTATCCACCTAGGGAAGTTGATAAACCCTGATTCCAAACCAATTGGATACATGGGCACCAGTATCCTGAAGGAATAAATGACGTATGAAGCAATTGTTGGTCACCGACTACCATGGGACAGTACCTCCTGACATTGTTCCACTGCCCTATGAATCAGACCTCTAGGTCAAAGGCTCCCGGTGTGGTTCCCCGAGAAAATCCCCTGTTTCGGTTTGAGCACTCAAGCAATATCATAGCCCATACACCAATCAAGAGACTTGTGAGGCGTATATGTATATGGTGCCCCTTTGTAGTAATATTTGTGTTCAAATAAGTAAATATATAAATAATAAACCTGGTGACATTGTTGTGGGTAGTTCAGCGAAGTGTTAAATTGAAAATCTGTCTTAGTAATGTTATAATTCAAGATAACAGTTGCGTCTGGTAAAATTAATTGTCATTTATCATTGCTGTTTAGAACTTGCACAACCTGAACTCTATTAAAAATGTATTACATATGTTGATAAAAAGCATCTTAAAATGGGAGTACAATGATTATATTATCGCTGCATCTAAACAAATCCTCTCAGTGATAGTTCAGCGACGATAATTGTTTAAAACGTTCACAAACATGTGAGGAAGTTTTACATAAATAAACCATTTAAAAATCTAAGTGGAAAATGTCAACCAACAGACAAAACCAATATTAGTGTATAATTTCAAGTTGTCAAATTCTACAAGTGAGACAAGGAAGAATAAACTCAACGAAAACTGAACTGATGACAGAAATAGCACTTATAGTATATAGTTCAGATAAAAACGGGTTTTTTAGTAGACGTATCTCCTTTAGCATATTAAAGAGGGCAAGGACAAAAATTTCAGCTTGATAGCACGGATTCATTTTATTTCGTTCGGTTCTCGTCAGCTGATTACAGTCTGTGATATTTACAACTACTTGCAAAATGGGTTCAAATTATGTTGTTGATTTAGGTCACACATCAATATTCTATACCAAGGTTGTAAATAAATTTTATAGACTAAACAAAATATTGTATATATATATATGTATATATCATGTGACAGAAAATTGCACATTGTTAGTAGTGAAAGTGCCAAAGATGTTTAGTGATTGTGTTGTTTAAATTAGTTCTTTCTCTTGTTCAGTCAGAAATCTTATAAATTCGTCACATGTTCTGGACAAAGAGTTAGACACAATATATTGTCTTCTTAATCTAACCTGTTCGGGTTTTCTA